ACCTCTGTTTCGACCCCATGGGTCCGACGAAGATGATGTGATGACCCTCAGCACATGCTTAAGCTGGCCCATGCTTTGGCTGAAGAGCCAGATTCGTTTGGGGGCGGGGGACACCACCCCACAGACAACACCGCTAGTCATGCCGGCGCCAAGCCATGGCAAGACCGCCGCAACGCTACCGCTGTCAGCTGATCTGGACATGCATATGGCACAGGATCCGGATGATGGTACATTTACCAACGTCGATAAGTACTTGAACGAACATGGGTACGATGATGAATTCTTAGGGCTGCCTCCTCAAGAACCCAACCTTGCAAAAGACGATCGCGATCTAGCTGGTACCGCGGAGAAACCCAATTGCAACAGGCATCGTCTGGCGTTCAGTTCTCAGGAGATGCCTCCAGCTGCCGCCTTCACCGAGCCTCAGATAGCCGAGGTGCGAAATATTATCAGCCCCAACACACTCAAGAAGGTGGTCTCTGAGCAGAACTCTATCCCATTACAACAGCAGTAGAAGAAGGGAGGAAAAAGAAAGAATAACAAGGGTGCAAGCCAGTCAGCACCGAGTACGATCCGTGCTCAGGACGGGCCACCTTCACCTAAGGATATCTCGAGGAGGGTGCATGTGGCGGGTAGGCCGATGCTACCAACTAATCTGCTCAATGCTGCAACCGGTGCTATGCGGAGTCTGCATGATAGTGTTCTTTCTTTGGAGAAGCGGCGTCTCTCCGAGAATGATGCGACATACACGGTTTTCGTGGCCAAGGTGCCAGAGGGCAAGGGCTTTGTCGATAGCACCATCGGGGGTAATGATCGTCCTGCGGTTTGATGACATCTTCGCTATGTTTAACATTCATCCGCTGCACTACACCTTCATTCGGCTATTTTTGCTCAGTATGGAGATGCGGATCATTAGAGACAAGACCCCGGACATCATGATAGTCGACCCCTTCTACATGCGTGCCAAGATCTTGGGCAGCGCTGGGGACTGGCAAGTCGCGAGTTCATACCTCGAAGGCATCATTCTGGCGAACCCAGATAAGGATAACTTCCTCGTGCCTTACTTTCCCGAGTAAGTCATCCCCTCACCGCCCCGTAACATATGATTTCTTAGATTTCGATCATTCTTTTTTTCTAACATTCCGTGTTTTGTGCAGTGACACACATTGCACACTCATCCTCTTAAGCCCAAAATATTCCATGGCCACGTATTTCGACTTGGACCGTCAGTCGAAGAAAGACTACACAAATATCAAGAAAGTTCTTGATGATGCTCTCCCCGGCTACGCCAGATCTGGAGGCACCTTCAGGAGGCCAATTTGTAGGTACGGCAGGCATGTGTTCACCCACGTAACGACGTTCCCCTATGTCAAGCAGCCGCCTGGCGGTCAGAAGGATGCCTACTACGCCCTCCATCATATACGGGCGATTGTATGGGACCATAATCACCTTCTGCTACCAACTAATCTCAATAATCGGGCCGCACGCTTGTCGGCAATTCAGGACGCGAACATCAGACAAGAATTCTTTCGCATCCAGTCGAAGTTTGCGGAAATCATCCATCAAGATGTCCTTCGTACCTCGGGGTAATTCTACCTCAGATATCAACCGTTCAACAGTGAAATAGAAACAACGCTACAAATACAGGCTGACAACGACCGCGATTTCATGACCATCACGATAGACGGTGGCTTCATTCACGCTCCGGTCCCAGAGTCGAGTCGAAAGTAGTGATGCTATGTAGTTCTGAAATATCGATTATCTCATGTTGTAATTAAACTTTAATGAACTCGTATGTCTCTTTAGTTTGGACAGTCGTTCAACTTATATGTAATCGATGCTATTTATTTGTAGGACCATGAATCATGCTATTAATGTGTTGCTTTTCTCTTCCGATCCTTTTGTTGCATACTTATATATTGCTTATGTATTGTCTGTGATTTGCTACTAACGTTTTGTTTGTCTAGTGCATAGAGATGCAGTCGTATGTCGTGTACAAGGGTAAGGTTTTCGGAGTCTATGACGACTGGGAGGAGTGTCGGAGACAGGTTCACCGTTTTAGCGGTAACAGTTACAAAGGATACACCACTAGGGCGGAGGCGGAAGCTAGATACGCACGCTATCTAGCGGGAGAGAGGAGGGAGCATTGGAGGAACCGGATGAAGACCAGTTTCATCGCGATGATGCTCAACGTGACCGCAGCTCTCTTCTATGTGATGGTAGTTTAGATGATCGATATCGACTTGTAATGTGAAGACAAACTCGCTACTCGCGGTCTCGAGACTTGTAATGTTCTAACTTTGTTCGGTATTTTGAATTCGGAGACTAATATGATGAATTGTATTCGGAGACTAATCTTCTATTGTATTCGATAAATCTGTTGTTTATATGTTGTGCTGTTTATATTCTATGTTGTAATGTATTTTGTAACCTGTGCAAACATCAGAAAAGAAAAAAAATTTCCTAATATTCATAGTAGTGGCGCACTATATTGCACTTTAGTGGCGCACTGGAATAAACACACCAGTAGCGCATTATCTAAAAGTGCGCCATTAGTAACCCAGAGCACAAGGTAAATATGGCCCCCTGGGAGGCATAGTAATGGCGCACTGGTGGACATAGTAATGGTGCACTATGTGGTGTGCCACTATTATCTCGGATACTAGTGGCGCACCAAAGGTGCGCCATTACTATTTGTTACTAGTGGCGTGTTAATAGTGGGCACCTGCAGTGCGCCATTAATGGCAAAAATAGGTGCGCCACTAACAACCTTTTTTCTAGTAGTGATTAGACCAGTCTAAAAAATGCAGAACAACATTCACCGCATCCGCTCTGAAAATTTCCTAGTTTCTTTGGAAGAAACGAGCCGGGGAAACCATCCGGACTGGGGGCTTTTAGAGGACCTATTCAGAATAGGGCGTCACCGGTCTCCTCAGCTATGAACGGTTTGGTCAGTTCAGTGTTAAGAACAATAAGTTCATGGGGGATCACCTCATCATCTTTTGACGAAATCTGTAGCAAGCTCCTAGATACCCTCTTTTTCCTCGACCATTTACCCTCTTTGTCTTCTAATCTTGTATGATGGCATTCTTTTTTTTCCTCCATGAGGCTTTCCTTTAGAAATACCTACTGTCCATGTCCCCTTCTTTTAGTTCCATTACTCTTGAACGTTGTCTCCAAATCATCTCTTCTCCGAGCAAGAGCTCGTCCAATTCTTTAGATAGATTTTTTTACTTGATTTTGCTGATCAACCGAGTAGGGGGCCTTCCAAAGAATACTCAATCCTTTTCTTATCTTAGCTGTTTGTTTCAGTATCGAACCGAAATCTTTATTTTCCCAACTTCTACCGCATGGTTAATAATTTTGATCCTACCTTCAAGAGAGTATCGACGAAATCACTAATTAAGGAGTACTCCTTGCGGAGATCACTCTAACTTTCCCAGGTTGCGACAAGTGGCGCGCTGCATGTGCGTCACTTGTCGCAACCTCTTAGTTTTCCCTTTTTCCGTAGATCTGTTTATTCAAAACGTTTTATCTCTTAAACCGTGCGTCCAAATCTCGAACCGCTTTCGCCATTGTATTCCTCGCGTCGAGATCTTCAAAACTAGATCCCATGTTGACAGGTTTTGATGAACTTTTTTTTCACGAAAAAAACTGGACGAAAAAACCGTACCGGGAGCACGGGTTTTCCCTTTCCGAAAGAGGCACACCCTTGCCTCTGACGAAATCACAACCGTGCCTCTCGCGGAAGCAAAACCGTGCCTCTCTCGAAAGAAAAAAAAACAGAAAATACGTTTTTTTTCGTTTCCGAGGAGGCACGGCCGTGACTCTCGCGGAAGCAAAACCGTGCCTCTCGCGAAAGAAAAATAAAATGAAAACGTGTTTTTTTTTGTTTCCAAGAGGCACGGCCGGGACTCTCGTGAAATCACAACCGTGCCTCTCGCGGAAGCAAAACCGTGCCTCTCGTGAAAGGAAAAAAAACACATTTTTTTCCGTTTACAAGAGGCACGGCTGTGCCTCTCGCGAAATCACAACTGTGACTCTCGCGAAAAAAATGCGTTTTTTTTGCGCAAATTTTTTTCCGAATTTTTTTCCGTCGAAAAGCTAGGGAGGACCGGTGAAAAACCAAAACGTCAAAAAACCCCCGGAAAAAACCCCGTTTAAAAAACCTAAAACGGGTGCGGAAAAATAAAAAAAATAAAATCCAGAGGGAGTGCCCACAGCGCGACACGCGAATGGCTGAGAGCGCGTCAAGTGACGCTTGATCCTTGCGAGCCTCCCGAAGAAGCGCTCGTTAATTAGTTGCTCCCGAGTACCGACTATATATTTCTTCTTCCAAGAAGCTTCAACCGAGTTCTTAAGCGTGTCCACCCTTTCCCACATGTATCATACCGAAACATGGGCTGAAAATAACCAGGCATATTCCAGTTTATTGGCTAACTTCCCAAGACTTAAATTTCTCTAGGTATTTGGTTCAGTGTCTTCTAAAAGGGTATATGGTTCAATATATCTTATAAAAGGTCGACTAGCATATGCTTAAAGTACAGGGTACTTGTGTGCGATTTTGGTCTTTTTTTTATAAGATTGTTATTTTTAATAGACAAAGGTAGAGTGTGGTTTCAATAGACCTAAATTGTATGAACGTGGTGTGACACGCTTTTCATGTCAAGCCATCTCTATTGTCATGTTTTAAAGTGGAATCCCTCTCCTTTGTTGGTTCAGTCATGTATGTTGTCATATTCTTAAGTGAAAACTCTCCTTTGGTGTCTTACTCTGAGAATATCCCAACAATATCAGCCTTACATCATCATACGCAAAATCAGACTATAATAGTCGGCGTGCAACAGCAAGTTTTTTTTTGTGTGTGTAGAAATTAATTCAACAGCGAGTTCAGATGAATAAAAATAGCGTCTGCCACTAGTGTAATAGAAATTTGTACAGCTTAATCCAAGAATAAAGCATCTCACAAGCAACTGAAATGAAAAGGGTACAAACCAAACCTAATTCCTTCCTCCTAATTTGGTGACTTGGATCATGGTAGTCGCCGGCAGATTACCTAACATCATGGACGTCAAGACCTCGTTTGTTTGCTCCGCGTCTATGCTCCCATCTTTGTCGCCCTCGATGATTTCCACCGATTTTAGGTTGGGGGTGAGGGATATGGTCCGAGGTAGCTCCACCATTGAACTGTTTGGGAACTCAGGGCACTGTAGGCAAGACGAACAATTATTAGGAGGTAAAAAATTATAATTTCTGAGAAAGCAGGATTAGTTAAGCGGGTGTACCTGACAGTTCTTTAGAGTGAGCTTCTCTAGGGCTGGAGCATTATGCAGAAAACGGCAGAGCGTCTGAGCATCGCCGCCAATCTCGGAATCCTCAAGGACCAAGGTCCTCATGCTGCGAAACACCGGTAACCCATGGTGCTCCTCGTCGAGCATCGCCTGCAACATTGGCCGCGGGAACTTGTCCTTGGCCAGTGGCGGCATCAGCGGCATCGGCGGCTGATCTGGCAAGAAGAATGGTCCAGGTGGTTGAACAAAAGGTATATATGCGTGCAGCATCTCCGGCTGATATTGAAAGAATTGAGCTCCAACAGGTGGAGCATGCGAAAATATATAATAGCACAGCTGCACCCAGGCCCTACTATCCTAACCATCCATTCTGCGCTTCGCGATTCGTGCAAACACATTTCTCTTTTTTGTTTCTCTTGCATAAAACATGTTTTGAAGTTCAAACCTTTGCAGCGTAGCAAAGTTTTCTATCTAGAATCTAGGATAAATCTTTCAGATTTTTTGGTCAAAAATAAATATACAAAAAATGTTTTTTTAATCTAAAAAAACATTTTTTGTATATTTATTTTTGACCAAAAAATCTGAAAGATTTATCCTAGATTCTAGATAGGAAGCTTTGCCACGCTGCAAAGGTTTGAACTTCAAAACATGTTTTATGCGAGAGAAACAAAAAAGAGAAAATTTCAGATAGAAAGTTAGTTGTGTTGCACAGATCTTAAAGCAATATTGGACAGCTAGGATAGCAGGGCCCGGATGCAGCTGTTCTAAAAATCCACGTCCGTGGAGCATGAGGTGTAGGTTGCTCAACTACTGTCTGCATCGCATTGCATATACGTACAGTTAATAAATCAGACATTTATGCGCAGTAAAAGTAAAACAGAAATCAATTACTATATAGAGTACTAATTGAGCAAGAGCGAGGGCAGTATAGATAGAGCACCATGTTGCCAAAGCCGTGCAGCTTCAGGGTGCAGACGTGGGACAGAGAGCCGATGAAGTTGCACAGAGCCCTGAGCAGATCCCTGTCCTGCTGAAGGTAGTAGCCGCCCCCCTGTTTGTGCCGGAGATCAGGCGTCCCTACCAGGCGGACGGATGCTTGGACGAGGCAAGGCGCCTCCTCGAGGACGACGGCGAAGGAGATGAGGCACCGGAAGTTAACGGCGAGGTGCAGCGACGCGAGTCGAGGGGCGGCGATGGTGAAGGTTAGGCTCTCGCTGTTCCGATTGGAGGATTCGACTACGAGGTTTTTAAGCGTGCCGGACGCGATCCTCGGGAGCGATGCTGATAACCTGGTGCCCGTGATCTGCAGGTCTTCCAGCACGGGGAGCCCGTAGGCGAGGTGCTCCGCGAAATCACGGTGGAGGGTCACCTGGTCGAGGCGCAGGCTCGTGAGGCGGTGGGAGGCTAGAGGGGGCAGCCTGACGGAGCCACGCACGTCGAGCGCCGCCGGGGAGCACTGGAGGCCGCGACGCACCCACCTCGTGTACTTGGTCACGAAGATATCATTGCCGTATCCGTACATTGACGGATCGCTCAACCATAACGGAGGGAGGCGCAGCCGCAGGGTTTGCAGGGGCGCAGCGCCGGCGCTCCGAATCCGATGGACCAGAAGGCTGTCGGCGAAGTCCTCGAAGTCGGCGAACTCGTCCGGCTGCTCCTTCCCGTAGTTAGCGAGCTGGGCGGGGCTCAGCGGCCACGGGCTGGGACGTAGAGTCGCATCGGGGCGGAACTCGCCGATATCGACGTCGAGGCACGGGGACGTGGGCCAGAGGTGCTGCCACCGCCGCGACAGCACGCACGTCTGAACGACCTGCCGGGCCTTGAGGCGCGACAGGATGTCATAGAGGAGGCAGTCCGGCAGGTCGCTCAGCCGGTCGTCCAAGCTGCCGCCGGCACGCTTCGCCGTCCTCAAGGCTTCCATGCTGATGGATCTTCGGTTTGGTGCGCGTCCTTGTTTTACGGATCAATCTACCCATCTACCCAATCTATAAGGAGACGTAGTTCGGTCGTGGAGTGCGGAACTCGGCTACCTTTCCGCGATTTTTTGTAACAACTTTCCGCGATATTTTTGTATGCATCACAGATGCAAGAGCTCATATACGCGCGCATACATTCACCCTTATGAACGCATACACGCATACCCTATCCTTATGAGCATATCCGAAAGACTGAGCCGCCATATCATCTTGAAATTTACGAAGTCGTCGTAGACACCTCGTCATCGACGGGGACGTCTCCTCCCGCTGAATGCGCATCACCGGAAATTCTGAAATAAATCCAGAAATAAATGCGAGCACCAGGACTTAAACCTGATGGGCTAGGGATACCACAGTGCCTCTAACCATCCAACCACAAGTTAGTTTTTTTCGCAATTTGTTGTTTCGTTGATTTCTGTGGATGTTTACGAGCCTTGTTTTGTGTGTTGGATCCAGATTCTCTAACCAGTCTTTAGGAACTAACCTAACCTTTGCGAAGATCATCTCCAATCAAGATAGATGATGTACTAGCAAAAGAGCCCGTTTGTTGTAACGGGAGGACATAATTTCATGTGCACCAAGCAATCCATTCGTGTTGCCACTTCTGTACGCCACCATCATCGACGATGGTCATGTGGTCCAATTATTCACCTCTTTCAATTCCAAGCCGTCGATGAGCTTGGTTGTGCGGCAATGTCGTGTACGGGAACTTGCGATTGAGCTTAGCTATCGGTAGAGGGACTTGAGGCCTTCCTACATGTGACGTCGGCATGCAACTCGAAATTTAGACATACTATTAGAACTTAAAAAGAAACTCGAATTTTTGGGGTTCATGCTGGAGTTTGCAGTGCTTGTGTATGTGTGGATGCTACCTTTCCGAGTTTTGTTGCTTCGTTCAATTCTATGGGTTTTTTTTGTCCTTGTGTATGTGTGCTGCTTCGTTGGTAGGCACGTACTAGAAAGCTACAAAGCCATGTACCACATACGTTCAACAAGTGATGTTTTGACTCAGCTTTCACATTGTTGGAATCGCCCTGTACTAACTAAAAGAAGATAGAAAGCCCAAGGCCTCAAACGGCCCAAGCAACCTGAAAAGCAAGGTAGGGCAAGGCACGTATGAGGCGGACAGCCTAAAAACCTGCCTAATTGTTGCCTAAATCGGTGGATTCTGGCCTAGAGGGAGGAATTGTGAGATTTGACAAGCTTTGTCACTTTTTACCTAAATCTAGGCCTTTTTAGGTAAACCTCATGCGTGCCTCGCTTCATGTGCCTGAAATCTGGCTAGTGCCTCAGTTAACTTGTGGGCTTGGTTGGGCCTTGCCTTGCTGAGGGAGTCCTGGACTAAGGGGTCCTCGGGCATCCAGGCTATGTGATATGGGCCGGGCTAATGGGCCGTAAAGATACGAAATCAAAGACCTTCCTCCGTGTCCGGATGGGACTCTCCTTTGCGTGGATGGCAAGCTTGGCATTCACATCATGCATCTTCCTTTCTCTGTAATCCGACTCTGTACAACCCTAGATCCCTCCGGTGTCTATATAAACCGGAGGGTTTAGTCCATAGGGCTAGAACAATCATATGGGCTAGACATCTAGGGTTTAACCATTACGATCTCGAGGTAGATCAACTCTTGTAACCCCTATACTCATCAAAGTCAATCAAGCAGGAAGTACGGTATTACCTCCGTTAAGAGGGCCCGAACCTGGGTAAACATCGTGTCCCCTGCCTCATGTTACCTTCGATCCTCAGACGCACAGTTCGGGACCCCCTACCCGAGATCTGCCGGTTTTGACACCGACATTGGTGCTTTCATTGAGAGTTCCACTGCGTCGTCGCCAGAAGGCTCGATGGCTCCATCAATCATCTACAACAATATTGCCCTGAGGGAGACTTTTCTCCCCGGCCAAATCTTCTTATTCGGCGGCTTCACACTGCGTGCCAATTCGATTGGCCTTCTGGAGCAGATCGACAGCTACGCCCCTAGTCATCAGATCAGTTTTGGAAACCTAAACTATGTCGCTGATATCCAAGGAGACTTGATCTTCCAAGGGTTCGCGACCTCGACCACAGCTCCGGCCTTAGATCTGGAACACATCACCGAGTCGGAAGACGTGAGTTTAGAGCTCGCTGGACTCTCCGCAGCCATAGAGCTCAACACCGGAGATACGGAGGGGATCGTTTCACCGGCAGGCCCGGAGTCACGCCAGACTCCCTTCATCAACATAAAGCCGGACTCACCCCCGAACACCAGCTCCGAACTCTCGAGGTCCGTGTTATGCGGACTCGGCCAGGGAACTCCCGTCCCGCCTAACTCCACAGACCCTCGCTTCCCCGTCCAAACCTCGCTCTTGAACAAGGCCCTGAACTTAATGCGATCTCTCGTCATTGTAGAAAAATCACTATCAAACTACATCCAGCCCATACTAGGGGCTGAGAGCGGGGAATTTCATGTCCCACCCACCACCCACTTCATAGCCACTGTTGAGGATTTAACCGACACGCTCGACTACGATTCCGAAGACATCGACGGTATGGACAATGATACCGGAGATGAGAAGAGCCAGAACCCGCCGTTCACCGGACGCTGGACGGCCACTTCCTCGTATGATGTATACATGGTGGACACACCCAAAGAGGATGACGGAGACGATGGGAAGAATCTAGAGGACAAGCCTGCTGAAGCACCTCCGAAGCGTCGACGTCAGCAGCGCCGATCAAAATGGCGTCGTGAAAAAGACAACAATACCAGCACCGAAGAAAATAATACCCCGGAGAATGCCGAAGACCAAGATGCCCGGTCGAGCCAACATCCGAACAGGATGATTGGGAAGAGGGGAAAGTCAAACCCGATGATCCTATCGGGAATGAGGGCTCCGAGGATAGTAATTACCTACCGATCTCCGAAGAGGACGAGAGCCTCGGCGACGAAGAGTTCATCGTGCCAGAGGAACCCCTCGAATAAGAGCGCTCTAAGCGCCGGCTAATAGCCACTACAAGAAGCCTGAAAAAGAAGCGACATCAACTTCAAGCTGACCAGGACTTACTCAATGACAGATGGACTAATGTCCTGGCTGCCAAGGAATACGGTCTCGAGCGCCCAACTAAGAGTTACCCAAAGCGCAGGTTGCTCTCCCAATTCAACAATGAGGTCCTAGAACCTATACCGATAGCGCGTAACGCGGCTGACGGGCCGGGACAGAGCAGCAACCCAAGCCGAACACCAGCCCGCACCACCTCGCCCTAGATGTAGAGAAACAGCGGCTGCAAGGTACATGCACGACCTGCGATAGGACCTGGACAATAGAGCCGGTCATACCAGATCAATTTATGGATCAAGGGGGCATGCACCAGCGTGAGAAGACGGCCATCAGGCCTGGCGCAATAAGCACAACCTCACCAGGGCCGAAAACCGCATACTGACTGCATCCGAACTGCGTCGTGACATCGCCCGATATAGAGGAGCCACACACCCCCTATGCTTCACCGATGAGGTAATGGAGCACCAGTTCCCAGAAGGGTTTAAACCCGTGAACATTGACTCATACGACGGCATGACAGATCCCGCAGTATGGATTAAAGATTTTCTTCTCCACATCCACATGGCCCGCGGTGACGACTTACATGCCATCAAATACCTCCCCCTAAAACATAAGGGACTAGCACGACACTGGCTGAACAGCCTCCCAGAAAACTCTATCGGTTGTGAAGACTTGGAGAACGCCTTCAGATACAACTTCCAAGGTACCTATGTTCGGCCCCCGGACGCTGATGACCATAGTCACATAATCCAGCAACCCGGTGAATCAGCCCGGAAGCTCTGGACCAGGTTCTTAATCAAAAAGAACCAGACTGTGGATTGTCCGAACGCCGAAGCCCTTGCGGCCTTCAAACACAACGTTTGAGATGAGTGGCTCGCCCGACACCTCAGCCAAGATAAGCCGAAGTCCATGGCAGCCCTTACCGCACTTATGACCCGCTTTTGCACGGGAGAAGATAGCTGGCTAGCTCGTAGAAGCAATAGCACCAGCGACCCAGGCACCTCTGAAGCCAGGGACGGCAATGGCAAGCCAAGATGCGACAAGCACAAATGTCAAAACAATGACAAAGACATGGCGGTCAATGCTGGATTCAGTGGCTCCAAATCCGGTCAGCGGAAGAAGCCATTCAAAGGAAAAAAAGATGGTCCATCCAGTTTGGACAGAATACTTGATCCGCCTTGCCAGATTCATGTCTTTAAACAGGTCGGCAAGCTCAATGCCGAACACAAGGGGAAAAGGCCGCCCCGCGAGGACGACGAAGAAGAGCCTCGCCCATCGAACACAGGGGGGCAGAAGAAATTTCCCTCCGAGGTCAAAAGGGTGAATATGATCTATGTCACCCACCTCCCCAAACCGGAGCGCAAGCGTGCATTAGGGGACGTCTACGCCATAGAGTCGGTCGCCCACAAAATTCAACCCATGGTTGGCTTGTCCGATCACCTTCGATCAAAAAGACCACCCGACCAGTATCCGTCATGGAGGTTCGGCAGCTTTGGTCCTCGACCCAATCAACGATGGATTCCACCTCACGCGAGTCCTCATGGACGGTGGCAGTAGCCTTAACCTCGTATTGATCCGTCAAGAATCAAGCCCACTAAAACTACCTTTAAAGGAATAATACCCGGCGTAGAGGCCCGTTGCTCGGGCTCAATAACATTGGAAGTTGTCTTCGGCTCGCCTGACAACTTCCACGGTGAAGACTTGATCTTTGATATCGTACCCTTCCGAAGTGGCTATCACGCACTGCTCGGACGGACCGCGTTCACTTGATTCAACATGGTCCCGCACTATGCTTATTTAAAACTCAAGATTCCCGGTCCACGCAGCGTCATTATAGTCAATGGAAACACGGAATGCTCCCTCCGCACGGAGGAGCACACCGCGGCTCTCATAGCCGAAGTACAGAGTG